TTCTGATAGCGGAACTACACTGACTCCTCAGCAGTCACAAATATATAAGTATGTATCGTATACATAGATTTTATCTGATGTACAATAAGAAACAGGAATGTGTTGTTCCATGACAAGTCGGACAGATCTTTCAGTTATTTTTACTTTCAATGAATTACTTTATGAACTTCTATAGCAAGTACATGCAAACCTGCTCTTCAGATGCTTTCAGCAAAAACAAACATTGATACTTTTTACATTAATTACACAACTTCACACCAATTTCACACCTGTTTAAGCTAATGTACTTTATCAAGACTGTGTGGATTTGATCCAAATGGATTGACAAGGGCCTGGCAACCTAAGCAAGCAAGCACACAACTGTCATCACGTTTGAATTCAAAAATTGCATAACCCTTACTGATGTATGGATGTATGTGACATCTTGTTTTCTTCATTGATCCCAGACCACAAGAGCGTTGTAAAAAAACTCAACATACAGAAAATCTCTCATGTGCCTCCATAAAGTTGAGGGAATCTTTTGAGGTGGGTTCTGGCAAGCATTAGGTGATATTGTAGTTTGAGGACAGACATAATTAATAATTATTCAACCAAAGCACAGAGTCTTAAATAAATACAATTAAAAATAGTCTGGAGCTAACACAAGTTTAACTTCGACTCTTTTGTTGAGGTAATTTTCCATAACTACACACTAGGTTGTATTCTTACCAACACAGCAGAAAGTAACTGCCAAAACAAAAGTCAGATCATGTCAGTTTTTCTGACCTCCTGTCCACGCCTCGTAATACACATGACCACAGTCTTCCGTTAATGTTAGCCACTATCCATTGTCCTGCATACGCCCCAGGCTGACAACATTTGCATGTTTTACAGACTCATCTGTTTGTGCACACTATTTACGTCATTTAAAAGTTGACGCCTTCAACAGTTGTGTTAAAGCTACTTTCAATGTCATGATCCAGGACTGGCCAGATGATAACATATCATTCTGATGAGTCTATTTTACTATGCCTCCGATTTAATTTTTTAAGAATCGTTCTGAGAGAATGAAGAACAAAGCCTCCTATCCTGAACTTGTGCCAGGGGGACCAGAGCCTGGATTCAGATTCTGGTTTTGAGCTGCTGCTAGTTTTTAAGCTGGTTTTGATTCATGGATTACATCACTTCTGTTTGAGGATTCAAACAAACACCTTGAGTCCAGCCTTAAAGGCCAGGATGGAGAACCCAGACGATGACATTATGCTCCCTCAGTCACAGGACGTGGGGTTGAACAGAGAAGTCAGTTTAGAACCAGAACAAGAGCAGCAGGATGAATCTGAACCTGACACCCAGCCTGAATCCAACCAGGGAACACCTGAGCCAACAAACAGCCCCCCATCGCACACCGCCATCGAGTTCCGCATACAGCAGCTTCAAAACAGACGTTTCCTTCTGCTAAAGATGCAGCAATTCAGGACGAAGGCTGAGAACAGTAGTGGCAAGACCACAGAGGAAAGTGAGTCAGTCTCTTAATTTGATGACAAAAATCAAACAATTCAGTGTCCTGTGATGCCTTTAAAAGCCAACCAATGTCTCACTACAAACCTTTGTCACAGATTGCATATACAGCAGTGAGCAGTTCAACCAAAGATCATCACGAGGAGTTTAAAAAGAGATTAGAAGAAACTTTTGTGTGGCACAAATAATTTTTCATCTTCTGTGTTAATCATTGTTGATAAACCACTGAGTGAGTCTTTTATTGGCCTTTGTTTGTATTTCAGTCTACAAATAAATGTTTAAAATAAATCATTGTATGAAATTAAAAATTAATTGATTGATGTAAAACAACATACTTGGAGTCCCAAACACATCAGTGATATTGTTAGTTATCAAAATGAAGGGTGAAAATAAATATAAAGCTTTATGCTTTTCCTTTAACTTCCAATCAGTATGTTTAAAAAAAAAAAAAAAAAAAAAGCAATCTGACTGACTTCTTTTCTTTTACTAGTCAATATTATTTTTCAACTCTTAAACCATTATAGCAGCAAGCTAATGTCAACAAAGTTAGCTAAGTTGGTAAAAAAAAAGAAACTTTTTCCCCTTTACCACCATAGTTAAATTAAAACATAATTTATTCTAGTCTTCTTTTTTTATCTTTTACTAGATCATTTTATTAACTTCTACAGTATTTTTGCCAGCATGCTAACACCAACAGTTAGCTGACTAGGACTAGGAGCAATGGGAAATAATAGTAATTTAAACCAAGAAAAAAAAAAATAAATAGAAAAGTAAAACGCATTGGAACTTCATTCATTTAAAGTAATATTTCTTTTGTCACTCTGTTTTAATTCCATGGAGAATGCGTTAATAACTAAAAATGGCTACAAGGTACAGCAGCTGGCCTTAGATCAGCTTAAGGTTTGTTAACTTTTTCTCCCTGTGTTGTGTTGTCAGTAACCAGTGAGGACATCGCTGAAGTGTCTGAGCTGGAGGCGATCCAGAAGGAGCTGGAGGAGCTGCTGGTTAAAAAGGAGGAGTTGGAGAAACATGGAAAAAGCTCCAACCTCAGTAATGGCATCCAGTGGATGGCTATTCTTTATGGCAACCCTGCTTCCTGTTAAAACAGACTTCCTTTTTAAGATAAAGATATTGCTTTATATATCTATAATGTCACTCTGAAAAACATGTTTGAACTGCTCATATTTTAAATCAGGTAAACAGGATGTGCACCCCCCTTTTTCTAAACCTGAGACACCCTGTGGGGGGATCTACATGCTGCCGCCTTTCCAGGAGAACGGTCCATTGGGGGGAGGTATGCCTGGAGAAGAAAGAGCAGTCGTTGCACGTAAGTTACACCACCTCACCCACACATCTAACATGTATATATTCATGCATTCATTTAGGCCAGTAATTCTCTGTCTCTTTCATGGGCAAGTGGAAAGTCTGGGTGAGACGCCAGCTGTCACCAAGTGTCCATCCTGTCAAGAGGTCGTCTTCACAGAAACCCGCAAAAGAGTGGGCGAGACTATGTGGCTAATTTGCTGCTTATGCTCCATGATTGGGTAAGTGGACAGAAATGGGCTGTAGAAATGTTTACCTTGCCAGACAGCTGTGTTGGAACTAGGATTAGTTCAACATTTTGTGGAAAATGCTTTTTTTGCTTTCTTGCCAAGACTCTTATGTCTGTGTGCTGACAATGAAGCAGCCAGGAGACTTTAGCGTAGCTTCGCTTAAAGACTGGACGCAGGGGGAAACTGCTTGCCTGGTTCTGTCTGAAGGTTAAGAATCGGCCTGCCAGCACCTCTAAAGCTCACTAATTAACCCCACAATTACAATAACAATTATATGTATTTTGTTTTAATCTAAACACAAGACAAATTGCAAAAACAACAAAACTCTGGGTTATGTGCTCACCTACCTTTTGGCTGGGTGCAGTGACTTCCTGACTGAACAGATGAGATATGAACAGAATGACAGGACTGCACTGTTTGACACAAAATGTAACAAGATGATGTCAACCTTTGTTCACAACACAAGTAGGTTTAGCAATGTGTCACTTTAATTTAATTTTAAAAGAGCCAGAAAAGTGGTAGCTAAGGGTCTGGTTAAGGAGTTTTAGAGGTGCTACAAGGCAATTTCTTTTACTTTTGGACAGAGCTGGGCTAGCTGTGTCAGACTTTTACCAGTCTTTATGCTAAGATAACAGTCTCCTGGTTGTTCATATTTAACAGACACACACGAGAGTGGTTATCTTCTCATCTAACTCTTGGCAAGAAAGCGCATTTTCCAGAATGTCAAACTTTTCATCTAAATGATCGATTTCAAAACAGAAATGCTGCACAAGAAAGGATTTAAATTTTCAGCTAATGAAATACTACTAATTGGAATCCAATGTGTATGTAACTTTGGGAAGAAGGACAAACACATTCTTCCTCTTCCAGATAACAAGTTGAACGGATAAGCAATGAAATGCACCGTAGTTCAATACACTCGGGGGTTTTGCTTCTACAGCCTTACTTGGTCTGGTGTGACCAGTGGCTAATGTTAGCTAACTTTAGATAGATGTTGCTGTGTAACTGTGATGTGTTTACAGTCACTATTAAAGACTAACCAATTGTTGTAGAGAGCTCAGTGACACCTATTTTGTTGCAAAGATTGAACATCACCCGTCATATCCCTGCTCCCGTCCTTCCACAGGTGTGTCGCAGGCTGCTGTGTAATCCCTTTCTTTGTGGACCGTCTGAGGAATGTCCAACACCAGTGTCCCCATTGCCAGGCACAAATCCGCACCCACCGGCCAGTTTGACATGCAGGATATTATATTAACAAGCCCTGGTGCGATTTGTACATTACTATTACATGGCTTCTGTGCATGTGTGACCATTTCCTGGGATCTGTTTGGGACTCAGCCGTAGCTGTCTTATTTTTCATTTTTTTTACTCCAGTGCTACATTAAGGAAACTTTCTGATTTTGACAAGTTGTTTTACTGTTGACTCCAGAATATCTGCACAACATGGACGGAATTCAAGCTCTCTGTGCCAGATGTAAATACTGTTATTCAAAACACTGTTCACTTCCAATGCTCAATAATATCTAGTTAATGATTCAGATACTAACAACTCCTCAACGCTGCACCAAAGAAATTGATCCATATTTTAAAAATGAGCCATTTTTGCTGCTGTTGTTCAGATACAGCCTACTGGTTTGTCATCAATCTAATGACCTTTGTGACCACGTTCCTTGGTTTAAGCAAGGTATATTTGGGAACACCCATTATCTGAAGGGAAAATGGAAATATGTCGCAAAACATATGCAAATATGGGCCCATAACCTAAACACATCTAACAAAGAACTGTTTTCATCCTACCACAACATGATTCAAATGTAGTGGCTTTCTTGATTCTTCTGTTATTCTTCTGTTCACCAGTTATTTGAAAGGCGAAATTATCCATACTGGTATTGTTGGCTATGTGTTTTATAAAATATTAATTATTTCTGTAAAGTAACTTATACTGAAGCATTCACAGTACACCAAATTTTATTGACACGTAAAGGCATACAGTACTTATATACATCTTTTGGAGTATTTACAAAATAGTCAACCCATGGATGTTACATATGTATAAAAATATGCATTACATCTATATAAATATGTACACAATGTGCAAAACATATGGCATACAAATAACAAGAGGCATGGTATGGACGGTGGAGATGGAGAGGCGACGCGGCTACAATGAAGGATGTAAATCAAATGTGTTTGCCCTGATGTCTGTAAAATACATATTTTAATAAAATGACTTGTACAGAGCTCTGTTCTGAAGTACAGCTTCTCAACCAAAATGTTCACAGGATGATAAACGGCACAGGTGAGGAGGACAACCAATAGAGCGGACGTGAACACAGGGGAGCCTGAGCCAAAACCTGTTAACTCCAATTATGAAAGTGACTGGTTCAGGGAACCTTTAGGGGTTGTTCAGACTGACAGTGCTTCCACAAGCCTCTAATACAAGAGGGTTATTCAAACAAACCCCTATTTAACCACTCAGATATGATGTGCTTTTTAACTTATAAACTGTATTACTCTGTAGTAAAAGCACTTCCATTAATAAAATCAAGGCGGGAACTGACATACAGTACGGTATATCAAGGGAGAGCAGCCATTATTGCTTTTTAGCTGTCCCTGGCTGGCCAGTTAGCAGACAAATGCCAATGGTATGTGGTGTCACATAGAGTGTAAATCACATACATATGTAGACTCACTACAGCCAACAGGTTTGTGTCTGATATGAAAAACAAAATGGATAAAAACTCAAACCAAAAATATACACATGGAATCTTTTACACATTTTACATAAGCATGAAAAGAAGATTGTTTTTTTCTTTTACTTTTCATCCAAAAAAAAAAAGATGGTGAATACAAAAACATGAGAAAATTAACAAAACGTGATAATATGTTCCACTGCCTTTTTTGGCAACAAAATATCAAATTTGACAGCCCTGAAGCTGACAGAAACAAAGACTAAAACACAACATTAACTCGTCATCTCTTCTAGGATATACGTGAATCAACTAGTGATTCTTACTGTTCATCCTATGTAGGATGTAACACAATCTAGAAGAAAAGAAATACAAGCAGGCAGACCAGGGTCCAACCACCCCGACACAACTGAACTAGAGGTGCACCAACCAGAGGTGACCAAGAGAATGAGGCCATCTCCGATTGTGAAAAGAAGCAGGTCTGTGCAGTATTTGGCGCAACTCTTTCAGGTGGTCAAAAAGTTTTGCATTTGGGCACATCCATGTGTCTTGGCCTGTTCTGATGATAAACATGGAACTGCGGCAGTAAGAGCATCACACTTTTTTGACTAGACAATGTTGATATAAAGAGCTGTTAACCAGTCACCACATTATTGCTGATGTGAACAGCAAATCAGCATTACACAGACAGAAATTACATTTATTTAAAATGCAAAAAAACACGGTTCCTTTAACTTTTTTTTCCTGTTAGAACTGACCCTGAAGTACCAACAGATGAAACTGAAAATGTGCCATGAAGCCACAACAGACAAAGAGGCAACGCCCTCTAGTGCCCTTAGACGCAATGACAGAACAAAGTGGTTAAAATGTACTGTAAATGTTCCCACTGGACATGAATCATTTCTAAAAGGATGACAATTAAAAAAGCAATCTTATTTCAAAGTGCCATACAGAATCAGTAACTTAATATTTAGGTTTGAAAAGGTACAGCGAGTGCGATACGATGCAATCCTTTCAAAATAAACATCTAGAATTTACGACGGCTTTAAAAGTAGCTAAGCCCTCTTCACTGTGTAGCACACCTCAAAAGGTGTCAGTGCGTTTTTGTACTGTAGGACACCGACTGAACCACAGAGATTGAAACAGTAAACAGTCATCAGAAGCCTTTTGAAGATTAAAGTTTGGGATATGTCGGTTGGATAGCAAATGATTTGATTTCATAGAGATTAAATGCATTTCTTCAGACAACTTGTGGGTGACGGCTGACAAAGAGCTCGAAGCGGCCCGAGATTAAACGTGAATATAATCGTGCACACGGGGACACAGGAGTACATGCAAAAGACAGGAAGACGAATCCACACACACACACACACACACACACACACAAAAACATGCTTTCTTGCTTTCTAAATATTACTTTAGAATATTCTGATTCCTCCAAATGATGGTTGGTCACTCATTAAATGGGCTGTTAAAAAGAATTACTTATCAGCTACAGGCTATTATTAACTAGCCCGTTTGTTAGATAGTGATGCAGTAATTTCCCACCCTGACTCACACACACACACACACACACACACACACACACACACACACACACACACACACACACACACAGTCCAAAGACATCGTATTTCCTTCATAGAACTTGCAACACACAGATCACCCCTATTATGGATGTGTGTCTGCATATGTCATAAACTGTTTTGTTCCCTTTCCACTGTTTTATGTCAGTTTACGACCAGAAGAGAAAAAAGCTGCCAAATTTGTGAGTAAAGTCCCATTTTCCGATATTTCCAAAATTACATTCAAAAAAGATACTGGGACAACAACTGCAGTATCTCTGGAGCGTTTGGCCACATGATCTTTACGCCGGTCACAGCCGTATTGATCACTTCATATCAACGATCACCTTGGATATGCAGAGTTCACATTTCCTTTTTCTGAGGTGAATGAGGCGCGTCGTCAGATCTCGACGCCTCTTTAGTGCATAGCTCTCACGTAGATGGAGGAGCTTGCTCCTCTCTCGTCATCCGACTTAAGTCGAGTCTTTGTTCTTTGTTCTTTAGAGTCATTGGTTCGTCAGCTCGACCGGAAGGCCGTGATAGGTCAGAAGAGTCACATCTGATACAACATATCAGATTAGTCAGCAAACATTGTGATGTGCAGTATGTGGTAGACTTAACCAGCGTGAACAGAAGCTTGACCTCTTCTCAGGAATCCCTTTAAAACTTGGCTCAGTGACCTGACTGAGCACGTATGGCTTCGAGTGATAAAGGGAACCTCAGACAGACTGCAGCAACTCCTCAAAGCACTCAGACTGGTTTAGTCTAAGTGGTCAGCAGCTGAGGCTGTACTGACATCCTAAAACACTGATGTGCCAGGCCAAGCCTCAAATGCGTTCTTATTGAATCAAATCCCTTCAATGTTTTGATTACACCTATTTTTAATCTGTAGTCTTTGAATGTCACACTGTAACGGCCAGCTTTTGCAACCTAGAGTGGCACAGTATGCTTCAGTGGAATCACACCACATGTGGTTACTGTGCTTATACAGTAAAAAGAGGCAGGGTTCACACTGAAAGCCACCCTTCAGGCTCTGTGTCAGAGAAAGCGAAGTTATATTAGTGTGGTTTAAAAAGAGTATTTACATACAGTCCAAGCTACCAGTATTAATTTGGCTCTGTCTTCATGTCTCTATAAATGATTATTAGAATCATGACATCAGACACTGAAAATGTCTAGTCTGTTTAAAAACCCTTTATCACTAATTCTACAGGTGTCTGTGTTTACTTTAGAGACATTATGACGTTATTCTGGCTGTTCAGCCATAGTAGGCGCTCTTTTGAAGCTGTGCAAACTCCTGCTTGTAGTTCAACTTGAATCAGTGCACTACTGTACAGCGTCCCTTACTGTAGTATAGTGGGAATATTACAGATGTATGGACGTACTGGTAAGATTGATATGGCACAGAAATGCCATGTTTTCTCCTCCTTTTGTGTCCTTATTTAAAATGTTGAAAAATTTGCGTCTATCGGTGCCTTTCTCCTTTTCATCCATCTCTCCCTCCCTTCTGGCTCAGCTGCTTTGCTGACTTGACCGTTCTTTTTCTTTCACCCGTCCCTCCGTCATTCCCAATGAAGCTGCAGGTCATGTGTATCCAGGAAGTCCGTTGGGATCCCCAGTGGTGTGAGTGCACCGCCAGGACCTGGTGGCATGGTGAGGTCCAGCCACTCCATATTGTCCAGGCCCGGGTCAGACAGGCCCATGTTGAGCGAGGACGGGGGCGAGGAGGAATCACAGAAGGACAGGTCTGACGTGTCCATGGGCGAGTAGGGTTGCTGTTCCATCAGCTGGGCCTGCAGCTCCTCCATCAGGCCCTGGGTGCGCGGGTCTGACACTGGCGACGTATCGGCGAGCGTTCGCTCCAGAAAGGCCTCCAGCTGATTGTCTGTGGCCAGCGAGGAGAGGCTGGGCAGGCTTTGGCCGATGAGGGGGCTCAGGGTGGGCGGAGGGGCCACCTGGATCTGTGGAGGTGGTCTGGAGAGAGCGGTGCTGACTGGCAGGGTGGTGATGTTTGCAGTGACCGGGACGGTCTTAGTGAAAGACACCGAAGGGTCCTGCTGGATAAATGGAGTGATTTCTGGAGATGGGGGATGGGGGAATAAACACAGGATTATTAGTGAGGGCTCATTTAAAGACTGGTACTGGTAGTGACTGAGTTTTTTAAAATCACAAAATACAAGTTTGTTCACAGTGTGACACTAAAACCCAGAGACCTATAATATAGAACGTTTGTTTAGTGTTAGCAGCTCCTAAACTCCTTCAACACCAGAACCTTCATGTTCCAAGTTCCTGAAAGCTGAAGTGATTAAACAGATACTTTAACACTATTAATTATATCTAACTCGATCAACTTTCTATCCATTACTTTAACTAACTACTTCAACCGTTTATTTATTACCTTCAGCTAACAATTTAGACTTCCCTGCTCGCTTGCTAACAAGTTTCACACACTTTAAATTACAACAGGAAGTGTTCATGCGTTACAGCTGATGCAACTAATATATATTTTTAGTCAAATCATAATTTCTGGGTTTTTTAAAATTCCTTTCCACATGCCCTCTGGCAACTGCAGAAGTAGCCCCTGGGGTATAATTACCTCTGATTGGGAATTAGCGATCTATATGTTGCTGGCCAAGACAACATAAATATCTAAAAGGTTGGTATCAGTCATGATCTGTCTAATTCTGTTAGCACAATGTAATGTCACCAAACTGAAAACACTGCTGCCTACACATCATGTTCTAGGTTTGTACCATCAGGGGGCACCTCCTTACCTCCACTCTCGATGAGAATGTCGAACAAATCGTCCATTTGCTGGCTGGTTGCAGTGGGAACCTGAAAAGACATTCAACAATGTAAAGAGACTTGATGCTGGTTCACCAAATGCAAGAAAACCGGGGCTGGTCAGTCTCACATATCCGATTCTGTGCCGGTCAAACTTACACGGATGACCGACTATTGTCACTGCCACACACATACACACACACATGCTAAAACATGTCGTTGGAAGTTATTCACTGTGAGTGAAAAAGAAACAATGCTCGCTATTTGTAAAACCTGTAAGGCCAAAATAAGTCGTGTTTCCCCCCCACACTTGGGCAGACTGCACAGATATATTAATGCTCTTAGCACTTTGTAGAGAAACAGAGAGAGATGTTATCTGGTATTACAGCAGAAGACATGGACATTGTGGATATTTTGGACTGTCATTTTCTGGGAAACAATGAGATGTGTTTTACTGCATTTCGTTTCAGGTGGATTTCATTTGTACAAAAAAGCTCTGTCCAGCAGCCTAACCTGGAGCACTTTTTTATTGCTGCAGCTGGTGTGTGTCTAACCTGTGAAACATTGTTGATGTGCATGTTGCGACTCTGTTTCACGGCCTCCTCATAGCGCGGAGGCTCTCTCATCTTGGGAGGCAGGGTAACAAGGGAGGTGGGCTGAAGGATCAAGGCGGGCTGGGGAGAAGAAGACTGGAAGAATAAGAGAGAGACAAAGAAACCTTTGTATGAAGCAAAAATAAGTATGTTAAAAAGCATCCAGTAAGTAGGACAGACTGAACCAAACTAAACCTACACCCCTTCAGGAATTCCTCAGCACTTACCTTATTGAATGGTCCGTTGGAGATGTGGTGGTTGGGTGAAGCCCGTGGGGAGACCCTGTTCTCTGGAGAGCTTCTCAGGAAACACTGGGGATTCATCTCAGGCCTAGTTTGGTTCTCCAAACCAGTGGTGTTATTGCACAAAGTCAGAGTCTGTCAAGACACAAGATAGGCTCACATCAGTCCATCACGCATCATGGGATTGACATCATCATTGATTGTGTGACAAAAATAAGATGGATATAAAAAGACACAAACATCCCCTTCAAAAACAAACAAGAAAAAAAAAGAAATATACCACATCCACAATTGTCACACATGTGGTAACCAACAGAAAAAACAAATGTAGCTGTTGTTTAAGGAAGAAAGAACTAAAAGTACAAAAAACCCACACAATTGTAGCTCTCACATAGAGCATGCACAATTATCTTAATTATCTTGTGGCACAGCTGATCCACTGTATTTTGAATTTATGTTCAAACGTGAAAGCTAAATCTGAACGTAAATGTGTTTTACCAAGAAATATGAACATGCACTAAATATCTTTGGTATCTGGGCACTGGACAAAATTTGACGAGTCACTTTGGTCTGTGGGAAATCATCATGATCATTTTCTACATATTTTAGAGTAGGGCACAATGACACACTCGCAAAAGTCGCTGTGCTATGATTTCTCACAGAAAGGCAGCTAGTTGCGTGGCGCGACTGACCTGTAGCAATTGGTTGTGGTTGGCTAACTGCTGGCTGGGTGCCGTCTCCATTTTTGTGGTTTGCAGCTGAGGAGCTGAGCCCTGGACCAGACCTTGATTTGAGACCGTGGCCTGAAGAACAGGCTGGGGGAAACAGGAAGGGAAAGGGAAACTGTGTGAGAACATAATTTTGCATAATAATTCCACTAATAAACTAAAAATTATACAACAACATAGTCTGTCTTGTCATTAAAACTAAGCTGAACGTATAAACCTCCAAACATGCTCTAACGCTTACGTCACTCTACCTGATTGCAATCTCACCTGCAGGCTGACAGTGGTGCTTGGTAGCTGGATTGCAGTAGCCTTATTGGGTAGTGAGACTGGGAGGAGGATCTGAGTTCCAGCCTGGCCAGTCCTGGTCAGCAGAGTCTGAGGCTGACTCAGCACCTGGGACACTCCGCCTGTGATAAAGAACTGCTGCAGGCTGGAGGCTGCGGGTTGAGAGTGGGGCTGGGTCTCGAGTTTGGGACTTCTCTGTGACTGGGGGAGGAACTGTGGGCTGGCGGTGACTTGGGGCTGTGGTTGGGATTGGATGTGGGTGATGAGCTGGGTTTGGGTGTGGACCGGCTTGCCAGCAGAAACAGTCACATCCTCCAACTTGACCACTGTTGGGAGGGGGGAGCCCCGGACAGAATTATTGATTGTAGCGGGAGTGGATGAACAGTTTGACAGGACTGCACCCTCCACTTTTACTACATTTGAGTTCAGGACTGTAGGAACAAGGTTTGTGGCAGGTGCACAGGAAGAGTCAGCGGTGCTGGTCCTCTTCTCCACCTCCAGCTGCATCTTCAGCTCCTCCACCAGCCTCTGCTCCTGCTCCAACTTCCTCATCAACTCTTCTATCTGACGCTCCTTCTCATGGAGCCTCCTGTCCTTTTCCTCCGGGACATGGAAAGACGGTAGAGGTGAGGATCGTGGACCTGCCCAGCCAGAGCTCACCATTTGTGTTTCAGAAGGAGCCTCAGACATGCCTACATCCTGCTGGCGGGCAGAGGGATCAGTGGGAATGGGTGAGACCGGTGGCGTGGAGTTCAAGTTCTCTGGAGCCACCTGCTGGACTGGGAGGACTATAGCAGGGGTGGTAGTGTTGGTGGTGACCTCCATGGGGACAGAGAGGGTGGTAATGGTTGAGGGGTGAATGGTGGTAGCAGCAGAGGTGCTGGGATTGTCCTGGAAAGGCTTCAGTCTTTCTATCAGATCAGTCTTTGTTCCTGACACAGGGAGGCCACGCAGCTTTAGTTCCAGTTTTAGCTCAGCCACCTAAACAAACAAAAACATCATCAAATCATGTACTTTGGCCTAGTGCTAGAGGAGGACGACTGCTTATAGGAATAGTTCAACACTTTGGCATTCTTGTTGAAAGAAAGATAAGAAGATTGATAACACTCATTTCAGTTTGTTAAATTTGAAACTATTGCCAGCTGCAGATTAGTTTAGCACAAAGAAAGAAAGCAGGGGGAAACAGCTAGCGTGGCTCTGTCCAAAGGAAAAAAAGAAAGGAGAAAAAAGCACCTCTAAATTTGACCTTGTTAACAACAATTTCTTGACTGTGCCAGTGACTTCATGGAAAGCAATCGGTTGATCAACCACCGCCAACAAGACTCCAGGAAGTCTCGGCAAAGAAATAATCCTACTCATAACCACAATTAAAACCACAACTTGTTGTTATTACACTTCTTTGTACGTCAAAATACTATGTTAATTAGTGAGCTTTAGAGGTGCTGGTGACTTTGGTGCCTTTGGAAAGAGCAGTGCTAGCGGTTTCCACTTTTAGTCTTGATACTAAGCAAAGCTAACCACCTGCTGCCTGCAGCTCCATATTTACCACACAGACATGAGGGTTTTATTAACCTTCTCATCTCACTCTCGGCAAGAATGCAGATTTACCAAACTGTCAAACTATTCCTTTAAATTCTGATGTGTAACTACTGATCAAAACATGTGTCTCTCTATAAAAGCCATCCTATAAGTTAAAGATGACTTCTGTCACAGCTGACACTTCTCACAAAACATTGTGTTTTCTTAGTCGCCCTGCTTGTGCTTTTAAATCCAATGCAACGTTGAGAAAAAGACATTAGAAGTTGCCAAATATAAAGAGTGCCCTCATCGAAGACATTTTTGTACTAGCTGTGTAAGATCTTGATAAAGTTCAGTTTTAACAGCTGAGTGGGCTTAAAGAGCAGTAATTTCTCCCTTTATAGCTCGGATTTTCTAAGCTCTTGGGGCTTGCTGTTTCAAGCTACAAAGCTGAGGGGTTTGCCGGTACTGGTGGGTTTCCAAATACCTTCATCTCCTCCAGGTTGGCAGGCAAGATTCCTGGCTTGCGGTTCGTGAGCGAGTTGTTTGGGCGAGCCGAGGCCGAAGGCAAAGGGGGAGGTGGAGGTGCAGTGGGTAGAGACACCATGATGGAGGTCGGCAGGCTTCCGGCACTGCTGCTTTGACCCTCGGCCACAGGTCTACAGAGAGACAGACAGACAGACACACACACAAAAGAAATGAGGTCATCGTTATTTCAGGAAATTATTTAAACTATTTCCGCAGTACATGAATAAGAAGAGGTGGGAGAAAGAGGGAAGGTGGACAAAGGAGTTTTATTGGAGAGATCACTGAAGAGCGAGAGAGAAAGAGAAAGACAGGAAAGAGAGAGAGGAAATCTGTTCCCAATATGAACAGACCATCCGTCCCGTGCCCTGCGCCTCACTAACAAAGCTGGTCAACCAAACCACAGAGCTCTAGCACAGTTCAAAGGGAGCTTGGCCATGCCGCTGAAACAGCAGCAGGGGGAAACAACATCCTGTTAGTTATTCATATGATTAGACGTTGTTATTGGAAACTAGCTAATGGCCCTCTGGATGGTAAAACAACAATATTTGGCTTGCTTTCAGATGTTTTCAGATAAAGACTTATGGAGGCGAGGTGAACCAGTTTACAGGAAACAAGGCATTTTTTACAGAACATACAACAGTGAAAAACATAAATAAATAAAACTCTTTCTCCATGATACAGGTAGAAATAAAACAATACAATTAAAAAAAAATTCTTCAGTAGTTCCAAAGTTTAACACACGTACTTAAGTGGTGCTGGTAATATAGTCTGGTAGTTGTAGTGCTGCTGTTGCTGGCTGAGGATTTGCAGCTGGAGGAACAGCTGCTGTTGCTGCAGTAGTCTGGCATAAGAGGAGTCCATGGGTGCTTCACTGGCCTCCTGCTTCTGGTCTGGGGGGACATACTGGTGGTACTTGAGCTTTTTCACCCTGGACTTAGGCTCTTTCCCCTTCTTACTGCGGTTCTTCTCTGAGGGCGACCTTTGCTGGCTTTGCTGTTTTGGGAGGAAACAGGACAACATACGGTTTGTCCAGCAGCCTTCAAATATTACAGAAAGAGGTGATTATTAAGATTATGTTTGGAAGCGGGGGAAATACTGCTCTTACTTTCACCAGTGTTGGGGCTGGTTTTGAAGGAGCAGCTGTGGTGACTGGTTGTGCGGGCGTGACAGCTGGGCGGCTGGCAGGCGGCTCATTAGTAGAGATCACTTTCACAAAGTCTGTTGTTGCTGGTGTGGCAACTGGGAAGGCCTGGAGAAGCAAAAATAACGACACTAATAACTGCAAAGAAAACACTGAACTTCTCATTAACACATACCAATGTTATGAAAAAAAATAGGGCTTTCAGGGTATACACAAACACCAGTGTTACTGGTCCTGTATCTGACCTGCAGTATTGTGGTGGGTAGTGGTGGTGGTGCTGGGCCTGGAGAGGGCGTCTCTGGCACTTTGCTTTCCGCGGGAGAGGGGACAGAACTCTGAGACTCCTGGCTGGCCGGCTGCTCTGGTGACAGGGCGTCGCTGCTGTCTTCATTTAACACCTTGGGATAATTCACCTGGCCCACTGCAAGACAAAAACAAAGTTAGTACATTGTACCCACTGTTTGTTTACGTTTATTTAATCTTTGCCAGTAATACACAAAATAATTTCTCTCCTATTCCCTGCACGGTTGATCAAACAAAGACCGCTTCCTGATAATGTTCATTAAGGCAGAAATGCTCTAAAAGCACTGGTTCTATCTATTATGGCAACATTAGCTATTTTATGACCAATTTTCCTGTCTCTCACCGATGATGGCCTGTTTAAGGGTGGAATCCACCGGCAGGATGTTTTTCTCTATCAGCTCCATAGGGCCGGGTCTCTGGGCGATCTTCTCGTTCAGGTTGTCAGCCAGCCGGGCCCTCTTCAGTCTCATCTGGGTGGCCTGTAGTGAGGGTTCTGCTCCAGTCTCTGAGGGATGGAAAAAAGTCACATCAAAGTATATATCATACTGTATAATGTCCACTTGTAGATGTCTTGTTTGTGGTAATAATCATTTATAACACTGTGTTTGATGCCAATTTAACTCCTGTGAGGTTTCAGATGTGTATCCAACCAAGTCTAGTTGCCCTTGATTTTAATCTTCCTTTGATAACTGACCTGGATGACTAAGAATCTTCACTGACATCTTTCAGATGTGTAATAAAATAAAATAAATGTTTGAACATCTCCATGGGACATGGCTTCCTATTCCTTCGTAGTCTAATGAAAGTCTTTTTGTTCCTGGGAAATTTATTTAAAAGGTTGACAGGGAACACTAGGTGAAGCTTCTAGTGTACGTAGTGAGAACTTGAGAATCTCCAATACCTTGCAGGATATGCATCCTGACCAACTCTGCTCTCTCTGGACGACTGCGGATCTTATGCTTGAGGAAATTCTCGGTCTATGGAGAAAGACATTGATCCGTCAGAAAATCATCTACATTTCATTATGTCCTGTTCTTTTATGCTTCATTGAGAAACACTGCAGTCCATACATGCATTTCCTCTGCATCTCAACTCCACATTTAGGACTTTATTTGCAAGCTGGGTGGCTTACCCTGGCTCTCTCCAAGCTGCGAATCTGCCCATGGAAGGCTGCCGGGCTCTTCAGAGCTGCAACACATAAAATTTTCATTTGCAAACTTTAAGACAAACAATCTAGATGAAAAACAGAGCAAACATGTTTATTATCTCAGCTAACAGGGTTCCAGTTTGTTATCATATTCCCACCCACACCACATTAGCACTCCGGTGAGGGATGGACAACTGGCAGCACTGATACTCACGTGGCATGATGCCCTGCTCCACCAGCTGCTCCCTGGTTCGCCTTTGCTGAAGCCGCAACTGCAGGACTGAAAAACAAAAAGGAAAAAAACATGTTACAAGACAAAAATTTGCATCTAGATTGTAATGTTGAGTAGAAGAAAGGAGGAGCAACATGAGAAGAAAAACAAGACAGACAGCAGAATGTGGAGTAAATAGATGAGGTAGTATATAAAAATAAAATAAGGAAGAAAATATGATCACTGAGAAGCTAACCACATACTAAAACTTCTCCCCACCAACTCACATCCTGCTTTCTAGTCATTAGGTTGATGACATCATTGTATATGGCATTTTGCACTCAGTACTCAGGTTTTATGTTCCAATTGACTATAAACTCACTGGCCACTTGAATAGATGAAACTTTTCAAATGCTCATTTATACAAATATCTAATCAACCAATCATGTGGAAGCAGCTCAATGCTTTTTTCCTGTTTCCAGATAATCTTACCAGGGTATGACATTTCTGGGGCTGTTACTATGCTGCTTTAATGTCTGGACCACTGCCAGCCAAAAACAAAACAATTGCACAAAGCACAATTGGACATCTTCAACTAGGGCTGGGCGATGAAAATGATAACAATAATTATTGCGATATAATTTCCCTCGCAATAAATATAACGATTGTTCAATAAAAGGTTAAATTTAATTCATTTGAATCACGAACAGGCTTAATTTTGGCTATTAAGGTATTTATTTTGTTCCACTGTTTGGCAAGTGTTTGTCATGTTCTGAACATAAAGAATAGTTTCAAAACAAAATTAGGTTTCGTCAACTTTCACTCAGGAGCAGAAATCAGCCTTTAAACTTGAAATGACAGACCCATCTTCAACCAAAACACTAGATATGACGCCATTGTCATTTGCTCCATCATTGATTTCCAGCTATTTACTTGGTGGGCACTGAAGTGATTATCAAGCTAGAACCTCCTGTAAAAAGATTTTTTATTAACACTTTCACAACCGCAGGACAAACTGGCAACAGCATCAGCTCACTGACAATAACAGCAAAGGAGAGGAGTGCTCACCTGCCCTGACCCCAGTGCAGCAGTCACTGAGCGTCTCTACGTCCATATAGGCCATCATCTGAGACTGAGACTCCTGGGCTATAGAGCAGTCCAAAATACAACTGAGGGATTAAACCATTTGATCCCACAGCCTTTGTATTAAAGCTCAAAATGTGCACTGTCATATCCTCTCAACCACAGTGCAACATGATCAACTGAATGATAATTGTAGCGGTGCTTCTAATAATTACAGTGAAGCGACACTAGGCCCATCCTCTATTTCTCTACTCCTCCCTGACTTGTTTTTTTTATTTTTTGCAGAGCCACAACACCCTCCTATCCCTCTACTCTCACTTCCCTCTCTCACATAGCCATTTTGGGATGGTTTTTTTTTTTTCTGGCTGTAGGTGATCCCAACACAGCCTGATGTGGAGGACTACACTGGATCCTTGTAACTACTGAAGAGCAGTCAAGAGCCTGAGTCAGCATGACTAACACAAAGGGCAATAACAACTGCGTCTTCAAGCTGAAAAGACGAGCATGTAGCAACAACACAAGTGTCACAATAACTAAGAATAGGTGTAGATTTTCACAAATTAAATACTGACCATGCGTAAAGACACTTCTCCATTCACAGGAAGGGATGTGTCAAAACTTACAATGAAATACAAACTCAGGAAACAGCTGGCCTCCCCACATCATTTGTCTGTTATCACTTTGGTACAACTCTTTTTTCCCAGGGTAAGACCACTGATCACTTTGCATCAAAATGCCATAACCTTTTGAATAGTTTGACTGGGAATACAGCAGCTTTGATTCCAACTAGAGCTGTTACTAAACATTTACAGAAATCTCATGCAGTAAATCCATTCAGGCTTCTGACTGGCTCCATTTTGCAGGGCTTGTTGGAAAGTGGCAATACATCCCTAAAGGAAATGACCAATTTGGACGCCAACACTACTCAGTAAAAAGCTGGAGAAAGGTATGCAGTGGGGACATGTTTGTTTAAGGTGATATATACATATAGACTTCGAGTCAGTGGCATTGTCCTAAATTCCTCCGGGAAATGCTGCTCAGCCTAACAAACACATGTTGACCTGTGACCTAAGCAGGCATAGGAGAGAGGTGGACATGACTGAGCTGTCTATGTACACAGGCATGCACACACAAAATTAGTCAACAGATCAGTGGAACAAACACAGGGCTGCAGAAGTCAAAATGGAGGTAAAACAGACACAAAATGTAAATGTAAATGCCCCGTACTTGTATAGCGCCTTTCTAGTCTTTTTGACCACTCAAAGCCAGCAGCTTGTTAGCTTAGCTTAGGATAAAGACTGGAAACTGATGGAAAACTAGCCCAGCTCTGTTAAAATAAATCTGTTCATTATAACTTTAGGTTGCATTTATTTCTTTTACAGTATAATAGAGACTGGTCATGCACCACCCCAGTTTTCAGTAAATGTTGAGATTTAGTCTTTTGACCAATATTGGAGCACTTTTTAATGACATGAATGGATTTTTCGTTTTGCTGCTTTATGAAGTTAATTTACAACAATGTTTGAAATATTTGAGTGTGTTAAATAAATTAATCTGAGTTTTGAAGTGACGAGAAGATCTTGAAAATGAATTGAACAACCACTTATTGAGTGCTGAGCTGAAAGAATAAGGCTAAAATGGTCCTACATAAGAACACATCAAAGCAACACATTCACATTATACGCCTGTTAACATTTAGGCTTTTACACTGTGATTGTCTGTCTTCCTGCATGTGGCAGCTGCAGCTGTGTGTTGCTTTTAGCCTGGACTGTGTCTTTAACTATGCCATATTTCTCCGATATTATAGTTTGCTCTTCGTTTGTAGAATGTGACTCTCTTCTGCCAGCAGACTTGTGTTTGTGATTGGTCATCTGCTGCAAACGCCGCCACTTTTATGTGAAAGCGGATTGCATGAATCTGGATTGGGAAACCCTGTGTTGACATACTGAGTTGCGTGAAGGCTTCTCCTGATTGTTAAAGTTAGTGAAGCAAGTTAATGAAAAGATATCCTGGGTATGTTGAACTTGCTTCATAGTACAGGCCCAATGCTAAGCTAAGCTACCTCTAAAATAGCTCTAGTTTCATATTTATCGTACAGACATGAGTGTGGTATAAATCTTCTGATGAATCCAAACATGTTGAACTATTTCTTTAAAAGTGACCAAAATAAGAAAAACTGAATGATTTTTGGTTGCCTTACTTTTCTAAATCTGAGTGACAATATGACTAACAACTAGTGCTGGTCAACAATTTTTAATCGCGATTAATCGCATGATTTTCTGTGATTAATGGCGCAGTTATGCGCAAAATTGAATAATGAATTCTAAAGTAGTGTATTGCGCACTTTTAATTTAAATGTATTGCTATATACACAAAAGTGCACTAACATGTGGTTTGCAAATGTTTTAAACAAATAATGTGCTTTTTACCAGCAGTATTCCCTTTACACAGTAAAGTAAATCTTAACTTAAACATTAATGTAATCAAATCAAATATTAAACGAAAGCTATTTGCCACTGCCAGGGCATTACCTTTTATCTAGCTTGTTAAAACAAGTTAGAGTCCAGAGTCAAGATGATAACATCATAGGGCTGGGCGATATAGCCAAAAAATTTTATCACAATAAAAACATTTCATATCATTCGATATCGATAATTATCACGATAAATGTCAAATCATTATTTTATTATTATATTTCTTTCATTATGATTTTTGCTCCTGGGTGAAAATTGAAGAAACCAGATGGTTAATTATGTGGTTTTAACTTTTTTTTATTGTCAGAATGTGACAAACACTTGCCACATGCCAAACAGTGGATCACTTAACAAATCTGACGTAGAACCTTCAAAACTATTATGATGAAATCTTTTTCAACAAATATGATTAGTAAATCTTTTTTCAGTCCCTTTTCCTCAACAAAATACATTTTTTAATAGGAAAATTAAGTGTTAATTTGTAAGTGATTCATATGAATTAAACCAAATATTTATTTATGATATATTGAACATTTATTATATTGTTTCCGAGGAAAATTAAATTAAGATAATTATCATTACTGTTTTATTGCCCAGCCCTTTAACATCATAACAGGCACCATCCCTGTTAGAGTGAGGTGTAGTGGTCGCCTCACGCACACGCCCATCCGCTGCCGAAGTTGAATTCTAGTGAACTTTTTGTAGCTACAGGATGCAGAGCACCAATCATTGGAAGAGAGACTGATCTTCACTGTTTGTAAGTTTCCAGAATCTATAACTGCTTACTAAATAGGACATCAACAGGAGGGAATTCGCATGGCAGAGCATCCCCGCAAAACTAGATTAAGGCCTATCAGGTAAAGTTATGTAGCCTATAATTTTAATTTAAATTAAATAGGCTACAGCTGTGTAGCGCACAGAAGCCGTAGCCATGGTTACTACCCATAGAGCGCCTGCTGTTTACTCCCTGCCGCCGCTCGACTGCGGTAATGCTCCCCTGAGAAGCAAAGACCAACCCCGCAGGACCAAGAGGCTACAGTGTGATTTTAAGAGCGTTCCTAAGGTCGACATTTTCCCCAATTCATAGTTTTCAGTCACGTGACATGCGCAGTGACCTGGAGGGCAAAACAACAGACCAACACCGCGACTTCCCCGTAGAGACGCCGCAGAAGCAGTCAAATTTTATTTGGATCACCTTTCAACTTCAGAAAAGGAAGTTATTAACACAAACTGCAAGTGCTGGGCATATTTGATCCACATTAAAAACCGCCAGGTCCCTGCCGCCGCTCGACTGCGGTAATGTTTACTTGAGGAATCCCTCAGCTAACACAGCCCAGGTTGGTCTCCTCCTCGATTAGTAATCCGAAAGCACAACAACCATCGAGCATTTTGGCAACGCAAAAAGTAACAAACTCAAAGTAGCAGTTTATAACTTGCATTTTGGTTGGCAGGCAGCAGAAAATAAAACAAGCGTTTTCCTTGGAATGTGACGTCACGTGAAAACTATGAATA